AGGCCACACCGCCTCCTGCAGAACTTGCAGGTAAATCACCCAGCAGGGGGCGCTGGTCAGGTGGGCCACTCCCACATCTAGCCATCTGGAACACAGCAGCAGCAATAGTCAGAAACTCACAAAATGAAATGAGAATTCAAAGGCTCGACAGAAGGATTTCCAAATTTTCCCATAGACCACCAAAGCATGAAACAAGGGAGGTCTTTGAGTGTGGAAATTGTGTTATGGGAAAATAGTTCACAAAAAAACAACTGTAGGCTACCACAAAACCATAACTCTTTTGTTTAAACAATACTTTTGTTCTGCAGGACTAAATAGCCATACAAACAGTGAGAGAAGTATTTAGACCACTAAAAGCCTCTGCACCTCTCTATGAAGGTGCCAAACAGCAGTCGAATGGTCTTCTGGATGTTCTCAGTGCACAGCCAGTTCCACTGGTCCTTCATCAACAGACACAGAATATTCAAGGCCACATCTGCCACAGCTGTATCTGAAGTGAGCAAAAACATCCATGGAAACCACCTAGATATTTGCTGCCCACAAGTGGCTGGTTCATGTTACTACTGTACTGTACTGTTGAGAGCAGTACAAACCTGTGCTGGATTTGCCAGAAGCCTTTGTGTTTTTGCCAAACTGTTCACTCCACAATTCCTGGGGCCCTTTCTCAGATAAACTACACATGCGCTGCTCTTGATCCTTCACAAAGTTTTCTAGGCCTGAGAGTGTCATTCCATTGAGCATCTAAAAATAGATTAAACAGTTAAAAACTCTTCTGACATAAACTTATCTTTATACAGTTGTGTACTGACTTACAGGGCTGCTCGCACTATAGCAGTATGTCACTTTAGGAGGCAGCTCAGAAATGTTCAGTGAGGTAGACATCCTATTTTGGAACAGCCTCCTGTTGTGGACAAAAATACTGCAAACTTAAAAGTTCTACATCATAGTCATAAAAAGGTTATTTTTTATGATTAAAAAGGAATGTAAAGATCACCTGTACTTCCTGATCTCCGGCATTCTTCCGTCCGTATCAATGTCAGAGTCCTCAGTTGGACTCAGGTCTGGGTAGGGAAAGGCAGTCTTTAAAGTGTCCAGTGCATTTTCCATCATCTTTGTCAATCAGTCAGAAAACCCACAGACACACAAATTACATTAAGCATCAAATTCGCATTGTTGGAAAGACCATTGTGCACATTGAAAAAAGGTGTGATATTTATCACCTTATCAATTCTTGATTTGCCGACAGGCCTCCTTCCAAAGTGAGCACAGACATCAGAGTTGAGGCCAAGGAACTCCTGCATGTCCTCACTGTTGGCTGTCTCAGGAATACTGCTCAGTTGCTACAAAACAAAATAAATCATATAAAAGCAAAGACACAACCCTTTTTTTTTTATCATGTTAGTACTTATGTATCTACTTTGAGAAAGGTATCAAGTTGGCATTTACGAGCTTCCACTTTCTCACTGTCTGAATTGCCAAATGAAATGTCTGGGAAGATCTTTTTGGGACCTTTGATATCTGAAAAAATACCAATATATAAGACTGAAAGTAGGATTTTTCAGACCATTATGTAAATCACATTTATGGATTAAAATTTTTACTTTTTAGCAGTTTCTTCATTTCTGGCTTTTCCTCCAGGCGTGTTTGCAAGTTGAGAAACTCACTATATCTGCGGTTTATTGTGTGACTGGTGAAAGAGTGCTGAGCGCCACCATTTTCAGATTCATTTATTGTATCAAACTGTAAAACAAAGCAAAAATGTGTGAATTCTACACATGCAAATATTGTTATTTAGTCTCATGTGATAACTACATTTCATATCACCTTTATAGTATAGACAGTAAAGAGATGAGTGCTCGTGCCACGCTGCTCTTTGGCAGTAGTTGTGCCACTTATATGGACATTTTGGATGTTCACAGGTGCTGGGGAGTGGTTAGGACTGTCCAGTGTTAGATCAAACTTTCTTGGGGGTGACTTGTCCTGGGACATGCCCGCTGGCCACAAGGAGTCCTCTGGAACAACCTGTTTAGGCCCAAGACCTTTTAGAGTTGCAAAACACCCAAATGGTTCATCTTCTTCCAAAGTAATCACTTTGCAGAAGTTGGTAGATGGACCGCAATCACAGAAACGCCCTTTTAAATCATAATCTGAATCTGACGGTAAAAGGGAGGTCATGGAGGGCACTTTGCATTGTGGTATAGTGGAGCATTTAACTGTACTTAGTGAACAGCAGGTTACATTGTATTGTGCAATTGAATTTTCCAAGTGAAAGTCTGTTTTGTCACTAGACGCTATGCTAACCATGGAGCCTTGGGGTGAATCCTCAGAAGGTGTTTTAGGACTTAGCTGCTCCTCAGAATCAGACAAACTTGAAGTGACCAGTCCTAGAGGGTCTGAGGAGGACAGTGAGCGGCAGGTGGTCCAGGACTCCTGCTGAATGGGACACCTGTACAATGTATCTGTCGGGAGGGGAGTCATTTCTGGGGGAGCTTTGGAGCGGGTGAAGATTTCCACTATGGTTTGGTTGAGCCAATCAGGATCGGCCACTCTGTGAAGTAGTGGCAGCAGAACATTACAGGTGATGAGCTCGGTGACCATGTAACCACCTGTTCTAGTCTCCATTTGAGGGTACGGGACGAGAACATGGAGTACCAGGTTCACCAGAGCTGTGGAGTAGCTTCTCTCATCAGAGCAAACAGCAGGATGGGGCGTGTCCACTTCACTGTAGATCTCCCATAGACTGATATCCTTTGTATGTGAAGCCTGTATTTGTTTTGCCTTCATATAGCTTTGCAGATGACAGCCATACACCTCCAGCAATCTCTGAATCAGCTCCTTTCTGTCAACTCTGCGTGCACGCTCTTTCAGCTCCATCACAGACTCCAGCATCGAGTTGAGAACTGCCCTTTCAAACTCGCCCTCCACCTCGGGCAGGACAGTGCGGTACCATGACGACACAAAATCCCGGACTGCTTTATGTGCAGCGCTGTGTATTTCATGGTTTAACCTCCACTCATGTTCAGGTGAATACACAGGAGGGTTCACCTTACCCAGTGGGAGGAAGTGCTCTAAATGTAGCAGGCTGTTGGCGTCCAGTAAAGCTCGACAGCCCAGCCAGCCACCCAGGACCACCAAGAAACTGGTGAAGAGGCAGAGAAGCCAAACATTCACCAGGAGATGGAAGAGCACAAGCCAAGACAAGAGAGCCACACATCCTAAGAGACGGGGTTGGCCCAGATACTCTGACAGAGAGGAGAGGAGAGCCATCAGGGAGAAGCATTAGAGAGGGAAGAGCACTGGATTCTGGGAGACATAAAAATAAATAAAATTAAGTATATGTCAATTTGATCATTTGATAATTTTTTTCATCTTAGTTTGAATTAATAACTGCATGATCCTATATCTGCAATGTTCAAGCCACACAACAGATGACACAATATTGCAGAAAGCTAAACGACAAAGAGCTGATTTTAAAACAACAAAACTATTCTTTGGAACAATGTATGAGGAGGGAGGGGATGGATTCTCGCTTTCTCACGGGAAAGATAAATGGGAAGCGGGACAGAGTATTGCAGTCTTGGAAAGGACAACATTCAGTTGTTGAGATTGACAAAGAAGAGATACGACTGGCATACCATGGTCGCCTATACATCAGCTGATAACACACAAGAACAAGAAAATATGAGCACTGTATTGAAGATCATTAAAGCTTGCCAGTTATGGGAAGAATACTTTGAACATGCATTTAGTTACCTCCATTAAAATGTATTTTGTGTGTATTGATGTATTGTGACACATTATCCAATCAGAGTACTGTATTCTCAATACATACAATGCTGTACTTTTACGTCGAGCCTATATTTAAATTATAGTGTAAAGATATACTACAGTATTAATAAAAACTTTATATTTGTTTCACAATTTTTAAAGCATTTTTTATTATTAAATCACATATGCACATGCCACAAGAGCAGAGTTGTATATTTTTCTCTACTTTTATGTGCAGTTTAAAGCCTAAATTAGATGATGATAAGGTATTCTTTTGGTTACTGAAAAGTAACTGTATTCTGAATACAGTTACTTAAAATTAGTTTTCTCAGTATGTATTCTCAGTACATGTATTTAGTTATTTCCGAACACTAGACATTGCAGTGTAAGTTCAGCTATAAACATACAGTATCCATGCTCAGTACCGTCCAGAAACATTTGTGTTTGATGAAATTACTTACCTTCATAGTGGAAGCCTCCAGAGTGCAGCACACAGGTGGTTGTTCGACAGTCCAGGTTTGCTGTAATCTGGATTATCCTGATCAACATGTCTTCATACGGCCCATATGGACAGTGACTTGTCTTGAACCAGTGACTTCACCGAGCCTGCTCATCAAGCCTGCAAAAGAAGCCTATTTCAGTTTGCATGCATTTTATAATGAGGAACCATATAATTATTTCTCATTTTCCAGTCATATTATATGACTGGAAAATGTGAAATTAAAATAATGTGTGTAAAATGTTGTTGGTTTAAGTAGTCTTTATTGTTCGTTGGGCTTTATTGGTCGTCTATTGTTCATACTCTTAGTTACCGTTGTTGAACATGCCCTCATTGTAAATGAATTAATGTGGTTGAAGCGCCCTCCAGTGGTGTACCTGAAGTTCAAGTGGACTTCATGTCCACAGAAATAAAAGCACGCTACTTTATAACGTGTAAAGTCCTATTTTTATTTCCTTTTACTAGCACTTAAAAGTATTCAATAGATTTCGATGAGGTATAATAGCCTAAAGCTTTGAGCCTATTTATAACTCATTGATTGATTCCAAATTCTCGTTCTTGAACACCCCCATATTTGGAAGGAGCGTGTCTCGCATCATGAGCACAGTCTGTCTGTCACAAAGCCATTGTATAATTCCCATGCGTAAAACAGATACAGAATTGTCTTTGTCAGCCCAACGACACAGGAAGACATAAGCCTACATATACTGTGCTCCTCCTATGTGTCTTTCCTCCCTCCCAGCACACGGTAGCATTACATAACGTTTTTATGTAAGTCTCTCCGTCAGTGCTGGCAGAGAGCAGCGCACGGTGCAACAGAGAAGCTCCATCTTTCTATCCGCAGCACGAGTCCGCGATGTCTCCGGGAATAAGCGGTAAAATACCTATAATTCAATTTAGTTAATTAGCTATTAGCTAATTGTTGTTTGTATCTTTACCTAACCTCCATGTGTTGGTGAGCGCTCGTGTAGGAGAGATGACTGTAGCCCGTGATGCGGGTCTTAAATCAAGATATGAAGCTACAACAGTTTATTGGCTACATAGAATTAGAGTTAAATATTTAGATAATTTTGTTCTGGGTTGTACTGGTCGAGCCATGGATGTGATATCTTCACTGTGCTAGCTGTTTGTTGTAATTTAAGCTGTCTACATTATGCATTAGTTATAACTATAGAGATAAGACTGCAGAAGGCTAGGCTTTATTAGGGATAGGATTGGGTGATATCACATTTAACATTATAGACTTTTTCACATTCATTGAAATACATTTTCAGGGAGCAAGTCTGTTTTGCTTGTAGGCAAGCCCAATTCAAACAGCATCATAATATCAGCGCAGGAACATTTTGTTGTCATTGTAAAGACAACAGGTAATAAAGGTAAAATAACACATTTCTAGCAAGTCTGTAGTCTGAAAGCAATAAATAACAATAATAATTTACTCTTATTTTGGATTAGCATCAAGGTGCTTTTTGCCTTCCATGTACTAGTCCCTGCTTGTGAGGTAGTACCTTAACTGACTGTAATCAATAAGTCTGCTAACCTGACTAACCCTCTAATGTTGAGGAATGTGACCATGTGTTAGAAGAAGCACCAAACCTGTTATTTAGACTTTACTGTCACTGGAGTGATTGATTGATTCTAGGTTTTTCTAAAATGCATATTTGAAATCTGATGTTGAACATAATCTCAGAACTCACGCCTCAAGAATCTGACCTGGATTTAGCCTCTTGAGAAATCCACATTTTTTTTTTTCTACTGCAGAAGAGCCTAAGAAATGCACCACACAGAGGACAGGCCTGGAGACCATCGCCCCATTAGTCCAGTCAGTTGAGGAGACCTCTGCGCCCATCTCCACTGAGGTACAGGGCACCATCCCCACATGGATCAATGGAAAGCTGCTGCGTAATGGCCCGGGGAAGTTTGAGTTTGGAAACACTCAGTGAGTCTGCTGCATTTCTAATAAACTTTTGCTTTGCGAAGAGCTGAAATTACACAGCACTGTGTCTGTGTCTTCACAGCTATAACCACTGGTTTGATGGGATGGCAATGCTGCACCAATACAACATCCAAAATGGTCAGGTGACCTACATGAGCCGCTTCCTCCAAAGTGACGCCTTTAAGAAGAACAGTGAGAAAGACCGCATTGTGATGTCTGAGTTTGGGACTCTGGCCATGCCCGACCCATGTAAAAACTTCTTCCAGAGGTTTCTTTCTAGATTTGAGATGATAGGTATTTACAATAACTTATCTGTTTATATTCCACATTATATTTATTACCATATATATCTATTTAACTGCAGAGTTTATTTTTACATGACTTGACAAGTCTCTCTAAATTGTGTACTTGCTTGTACACTGGTAGCTGGTATTGACCAAGGAAGGCAATTACTAAATATAGATGGTTAAGGTTACATGCTGTAGAGTGTGTTGACAAAGAAGGAAAACTCGTTAAGTAAACAGATCCATAAAGACTTTTGGACTTGCTGTTTTGCACTTGTAAAAACTAAATGTGCCATACACATAAAGTATCTGTTTTATAAAACATGTGTCCCACAGAACCCACAGACAATGCCAGTGTGAACTTTGTCACGTACAAGGGTGATTACTATGTCAGCACAGAGACCAACTTCATGCACAGAGTCAACCCGGAAAACCTTGACACAGTGGAGAAGGTAAGAAAAGTATTAGTAGTAGTAGTACTGCAACTATAGTGACAGTGTATACAAAGAATAAGGGGTATGCTTTGCATGAAGGTGGACTGGAGCAAGTTCATCGCTGTAAATGGAGCCACTGCCCATCCGCACTATGATCCAGATGGCACTGCTTATAACATGGGCAACTCCTACGGCAGTAAGGGTGAGTCTGTTTGCCCACAAATCTGCTCCTACTTTTTTGTTGTACAATAGGGCTGCCAGATTTGACTGCCAGAAATTGATTTTTTTAAGTGTTGCAATTTTCAAAAATAGGACATTTTGAACAACTCCAGAATCATTGACATGAGAGAGAAGAGAACATAAACTGATAAACTAATTTCAGCTCATTCTTGTAAAGGTCAAAATTACAAGTACATAAATATTTTTTTCTTTGCAGAGGATATTGCAAAAATGTTTTATAATCATGTCAAACTCAACTTTCATAGCCCAATTGTATAATGTAACAAAAATAACATTTAATTCACCACAGGAGCTCTGTACAACATAATCTGTGTACCCCCTGAGAAAAAAGATGCAACAGACACTCTGCAGGGAGCTAAAGTCCTCTGCTCCATCGTCCCTGCAAACAAGGCCCATCCCTCGTACTACCACAGCTTTGGTGAGTCCCACCTGTTCAGGCCTGTGTTATACTGTATGCTGTTATGTACCGGTGTTATTAAAAAACTGCATCTGATCTTTTCTGTAGCTATGTCGGAAAACTATGTGGTTTTTATTGAACAACCAATTAAAATGGATCTACTGAAGATTGTCACATGCAAACTCAGAGGAAGGGCCCTTGGTGAAGGCATCTACTGGGATCCTAAAATGGACACTGTGTTCCACTTAGTGAATAAGAAAACAGGAGAGGTATAGTCTGCTCCTATGACAGAGAAAGAACATTTTACAGGTTTTTATTTTATAGGGTCCACATGGTGTTTATGTCCATACTGCCCCCTACAGGTGAGTCCAGTGAAGTATTACACCAAAGCCATATCCACCTTCCACCAGATCAATGCGTTTGAGGAGGATGGCTTCCTGATGGTTGACCTGTGCTGTGCAGATGATGGTGATGCCATTAACAACTATCTCATCCAGAACCTACGCAAGTCAGGAGAAGCACTAGACCAGGTTAGCATATACAGGTGCTTTAGATGTGGTGTTCACATTATAGAGTTGATAATGTTATAACTTAAGATAGAGGACAGAGACCTGTATAACTTTGAGAGAAACTTAATATCCACAAATTGTGAACATGATTATTATTATTATTTGTAAATGAATGGATCCACAAACTTACCAGTCACTACTGGTTAATACACTTACCACATGTCAGAATATTTTTAAGTGAATGAAAGTAAACTAAAATCTCCACTGGGTTAAAATTAGGCTAACTAAAAATGAGGTATGATGACAAATCCCATTTTAGCCGTTTTTGGATGATGCTAACAAAAGCCTTTGTGTCTATTCTTTCAGGTGTATAATACATTGTGCAGGCCTTTCCCTCGACGCTTTGTGCTGCCTCTGAACGTGACCAATGACACAGTGACAGGACAGAACCTTAACACACGGCCCAACAGTGAGGCCACCTGTGTGAAAGTTAGCAAAGATAAGGTAACCACTGTTTACAAACCTCATTTCAGCACAACATCTACATTTAGGTAGCAGTCATGTTGACTAATAGTACTTTTAGTCCTTTAGCTGATTTAGTTGATCACATTTTTACTAGTGTTGTTTTTTTTAAATTATCATTATTATTATTATTATTATTATTATCATGAGTGATGAATATTTAAATCTGCCTTTTCACTTATGAAGATGTGGTTTACTTATTTCTTTGTATATATACTTTTTTATCCTAATCATTTTGGGAGCTTTGTAAAGCTTTTCACCAATTAATCACTGCACAGGGCATGTCTGAAGTCGGTAAAAGAATTTTATCAGTCAACTACAACTCTAATGACAGGGATGCAAGCCACAAACAATTTTTTCAAGAATATGTTTCGTTTACTTTCTCAGGTGTTCTGTCAACATGAGGATCTCCATGGAGACGACCTAATGAACTATGGTGGCCTGGAATTCCCTCAGATCAACTATCGCAGATGCAACACCAAACCATACCGCTACTACTACGGCTGTGGATTCAGACATCTGGTGGGAGACTCACTCATCAAGATGGATCTGAGCAACAAAACATTAAAGGTACTGTCCAGACATAGTTTCCAAAAAGATTTACGATTTATACATGACACTAAATCATTCAAATGTAATTAATTAATTATTGATTTAATTATTGTTCGTGTTAATAAATGGATAAACTAAGGATAGTCAGTAGGGTTGGGGGAATTAAACAATTTTTAATAAAGACTGAGATTCCACGTCTAATTGCCGACAATATCTTTGGGTCTTTTAATCAATCCTCTGTCCATAAAAAGTGTATAGTTTACTTTGGAGGAACATTTGACTAATTTTTTTGCTTTAACTTAAAGAACTTTAACTTAAAGATAAAGAGGTGAATAGAGTTCAATATCTTACTCCAGGTTTTACTTTTTTACTGACACATTTGACTTGGTTTTGTCCCAGGTGTGGCACCAGCAGGGCTTTTACCCGTCAGAGCCAGTGTTTGTGTCTGCTCCCGATGCCACGGAGGAAGACGATGGAGTAATACTATCCGTCATCCTCACCCCCTCACAAGTAAGATCCATAGTTTTCAAAAATACAGTACAGTTCAAGCCCAGTAAATCTTGATATCTATGAGTTGCTAGTGCTGCTGGAATTGATAAAAGTACTTCTCTCTCCATGTAGGATAAAGGGACATTCCTCCTTGTTCTCAATGCCAAAACGTTTGAGGAGCTGGGAAGAGCTAATGTTCCTGTGAACATTCCCTATGGGTTTCATGGTGCCTTCAGTGCCTCTGCATAACTCTGTATAACCTGTACTAGCATAAACCACTAATGCCTTTTTTAACCACTACTATATCTTATTCAAAAAATTAAGCCAGTATTCTGTTATATTACAACAAAGAGCTTGTCAATAAACTAGATTCTTGTGAAAAAACAATCAATACAACAAAAGGGAAAAAGGAAAACAACCCATAATATATAACATATGTATTCTTAGATTTTGTAAGAGCTATTTCAAGCATGTTTTATATGGGGGTTAACTCAGACTTTCACAAAATTCTACTTAATTGAGAGGCGAGTTGAATTATTTTTTTACTGTATTGTATTTGTATTTATAAATACAATGCAACATTCATTTATTAATATTTGCTCAGTGGCATTTAAGTTACTTACTATATGTTAATGACAACATATTTTGTTTTTAATTCCAACTTGTATCAATGACCGTGAATGTTATTGCAGTAAATTTTATATGATCTTAGTCAGTTTTATATTTTTATATCCATTAAATTTCTTTTGCAAGTATTGTGATGTTCTTTGTTAATACATGTTTGAATGCTTTTATAATGCCATATTTACAAGTTCAGTGCTTCTTAAATGGGCAAAAGACTCAGAATTGTTTCACATAATTATGTCAACAATGCTCTTAAAAGGTTAACAAACCTGTCTAGCAGCCAAAAGGCTTCCAGTATGCATTGAGCTGAATGACAGCCTAGGAACTTTGTGTTGTTGTGCTGGTTTTCAATGTGAAAATGTATTGATAATGTATTTAACAGATTTAACACTTTAGAAATATCAGACATATTAGTAAACTAGTAAACAGTCAGCAGCTTTTACGTCACATGATTAGTTTAAAGAATTGTGAATAGTAAACATGCAATGCCCAAATGATACACTAGAGGTCAGCACTTTCTAGTTATGAGTCAAAATCTGGTCTAGTTTACTGCCCCCAAAACTCTATGGCCAGAGGTGAAGTTTCAACAAACAATATTTTAAATTTAAAAATACAATGGTCATACAGGTGTGAATAAAACATACAAATGTCTCTTTATACACAGAAATGTAAAAGTAAAAAGCTTACCCATTTCAGAGCCTCTTACAGAGTCCTGTTCCTTGTTGCTGCATGTGTGGTCAGACAGCAGATGCACATTCCCATAGAGAGGTGAACAAAGGCAGAGGAGGAAAAAATTCCTGCAGATTTACCATCAGTTAAAGCCGCAACAACCAAACTAGGGAAAAAAAGTTTTAGAAAACATTTTTGGTCCCAAATGTCTAAAAATGTGATAATGAAAAAAGAGGAAATGCAACCTGACTCAGAAATAGCTGTCACTTAATTTTTCATGTAGCATTTAAACAGAATTTAATCATCTTTTTCAATTGAAACTTGATGTGACATAGTGAACAATTTAAAATGTACAGTAAATGAAAGGATTTGCACATAATAACTCAGTCTTGTATGTTTCATTGTAGAATGAATGTTGTTGTGATTACTGTGGAGGTTGGATACATGGAGTGGATGCACAGTGTCACTGTGTTTATTTTTAGTCTGTTTGATGTATTAATATCCCACAAGTGTTGAGCAAAGCTGAAAACAGAGCTGTCACAGAATGTTTCTGTAATAAGAGTAAAGTGACCAATCAAATGGGAATGGACAGTCTCACATTATTGTTAAACAGGCATTATATTACTTCTTGTTTTGACAATACATGCTCTTGTTTATGTACTACAATATAGTCTAAAAATAGCTATATTTTACAAAATGTGAATTTTACTCATTAAAATACACCCATGTATACGCTTCAGGCAGTAACTAGTTAGGATTACTGTAATTAGATTTTATGAATAGCAATTGGATTATATTTGAAACTAAGTAACTAAATGATCTGATTATTTTTCCAGAGTAACTTGCCCAACACTGGTTAGCATCCCAAATGGGGAGAGGACAGTCTCATATACGTCCAGTGCACGAGGCAATAATGTGAATTCTATACTTCAATTAAAAGAGGTAAAGCTCTTTAAAACAGATAATTACTAATAAAATAAATAAAAGTGTGTTCATAAAAATATGTATGACCCTACACATTTAATAGCTTACTTCTGAGAGCTACTGTACAGTTACAGTATACAGTACAGTGCCACCTAAACACTTGAAACAGACATGTATTGCCCCTAATTTAGATGTTGAATTTACTCTACATATTCCAGACACAACCAGATGTTCAGAGGTCTAGTTTATCCTGTACTCTGTCTTGAGTGCGTTCTTCGTTACAGTATGCTGCGTATGCATGTTATGTGCACATTTCCAGCCCAGGATCCAGAGCGTCTTTTGACCTTCAGTGCTGAGCGCGATATGTGGCTGTGGTATTTCCCGCCGGCACGCTCTCCATATAGACTTACACAAAACACTAGAGCAGTGCTGCAGTCTTTTCAATACAGCTCGTCTGATTCAAGTTAACCCATAAAACATGTCTGACATATTAATCAGCTCTGCATGTTGGGGTACTACTATGGCACTGCTGCTGGGGGCAGGGCTCTTATTGGGCCATCTTAGTGGCCAATAAGAAAAGCCTGAAGCTTCTCCTAGCAACACAAGTCTTTTTCTAAGAGGTGTAGCAGCAAACTGATACCCATAATTTGACTAAATGAATCACGGTAAGTTAACAGTTCCACAGCAGAAACACAAGTTTGTCTGCAGCGCAGCCCCCAAAACATCTCCTCTCTTGCTCCCCATCTGTCTCTGAGCGAAGCAACTCCTGTCTTACCATCTTAAAGGAACAGGCTGCATATTTAAGTTTTTTCATTGTCCCAAGGCATTGTGGGAAATGGACTGTACTTGTTGACCTCTCAGTACTGAATGGTGGGGCCTCTTTGAGGAGGCAGCAGGAATACCTTGGCAAACAGCTATCATTTTCCTAAGACACTACCAACCTCTCAGTCCAACCGCACTTTCTCTGCAGATGTGGCTGTTGAGGATTGGATGCTGTAAAAAAGGTTAGAATAAATGCATTAGCTACTGAAACCAATCAGAGGTACAGACCTAGAAATGTTAAAAATACAATTAGCTTACTCATTGATCCTCAAAACAGTAAAAGAGTGAATTTAGACAGAAGCAACAGATTTCGTTTGTGTGTCCTGGCTTATGTACAGCACCTGTTGCCAGGCTACAGCAGTGCATGTGAACATGGCGGATGACCTCTGACCCCGGGTGCATTCCTCTCGTTGCTCCTCTGGGAGTCGGCGAGAGCACATGTCACATGCACCATACTGGACTCAGATAAATATATTCAATCTGGGCTAGTAACTGGCCCATCCATCTTGGCCCAGCTGTGAGCTACAGTCTGCAGTGAAATCTCTCTGATAAAAACATATTTTATAGTGTCACCTGTGTGTTACTTTTTATGGAGCTGTGTCTACTAAACTGAGGCAGAATAGGTTATTTTGTAGACCTTGTCTCAGTCTGACCTTACAAATGTGGAACTAGCTCTAACAAGTTTAGAGTTTCTGCTGATTTTGGGTAAATCAGGGTGGCATGAAGAAACGGTCTAGTTGGTCACAAACCATATAATTAAGTGCACGTCTGACCTCTGTCATTTTTGGCATCTTCCATCCTGTTTCTCAGTTGTCTAACATTAGGAACAAAAGCTCTCTTGAGCTCATTTAGCCCTGTTACAATGAGGGGAGACAAGGTAAAAAAGCCCGCCCTTTGAAGTATGCTCCCCCTGTTCGGCCACAGCCCCTCCCCCCTGTGTCCTGAGTCAGACTGTTACAGTAAAGCACCTCTGCCCAGCTCCCCTGTTCAACCTTAGGTGACCCACGCAGACACGCCCACCTCTCTTCTTCTGCAGGAATGTTGTGGACGAGTTTTTAATTTTGCCCCTCTGCCCGTCCGGTCCCTATGTGCCCTCGAATGTGTCCGTGCAGCATTAACACAGACTGACACCTCAGATTAGCCACAGACATCAGGAATGCTGCAGCCTTTTGGTGCCACGGGGACTTGGGCCAAAAACGCCCTCGCCAAGTCCACGTGTGAAAAACAGGGCCATAGGGTAGGACAAGAAGGGGGACAGTTACTGGAGGTCTGACTCATTATTGGTGACACATGCATTTTAGGGCCATCAATATGGAGAGAAGATTTTTTTTTATAAATACTGTCACTTATGGTTAGATTTAATATGAAATAATAAAGATGGGTTGTTATAGTGATATCAGATAGGCATTGAGTACAATAATGAGGAATTTACAATTCAACCACAGATGCTTGATTAAAACAAAATTCCCAAATTGCTAATAAAAATGTATATACACACATAGGCTATACCACTGTGTTTGCCATAATAATAAAATATTAAGGTATCTTAGTAAGGTATTAAGGTATTTTTTACATAGGCAGATGAACAATATTATATTTAATACTTACATACTAAACCAAAGTACCCTCAAAAAGTACAAAGAATCATTGCACTATTATTTTTATGACTCGTGTTTATCATGGTTTTATCATTATCATGCAACTTTATGTCACTGAAACAATAGCCCTACTATTATTTCAGTGACATAAAGTTGTCGTCAGTATTTCATAGTAGTTCATTTGAATATAGTGCACTTTTTTGTTTTGTATTTGTTTATCCACTACATTCTGAAGTGGTCAAGGTCACTGTTGGTGTTTTCCTGTAGAAAAGAAGCTGAAATGCAGAACCCACAGCTGTGTACCAACGCCTGAGGAGACCCTAAAACACAAAGCTCACCGCCGTCACAACTCTGTTTAAGCGCCTTTGCAATTTAATCAGCTTTATCAAAGTCTATCTTCCAAATACATAACTTTGTAAGCTTAGCCTAATCGTATCAAAGGATTTAATATTGGTTAATTGTTGGAATAATAATAGCAAAATCCAACAAGTGTGAGAATCATATTAATAAATCATATTCAGAAACAAAGCTGTATATAAAATGCTGTTATTTGGACAAGGTAAAGAGAGAACAACTGATTTCTGGGTTAGCACGAAATGCCTTGAATTATTAAGTATGAGCACATAGCAAAAATAAAGAAAGCATTATTATTATTCTGTGATATGTTGAATAAAATTATGTTTAGGAAATGTAAATGTAAAAGGAGAACAATGTATAGAAGTGCACAATACTGTTTCTTATGTTCATTTCATTCATGCGGTGTTTCTGTCATTGTATCATGTGAGCAAAAAAGAATAGCTGTAGGAACAAAGAGACGATACAATATATGACTACTTTAATTAAAACAACAACATGGCAACTTTTTTCACTTAAAACAAACCAAGTGCGGTATAGTCTAAAATTTTAAATTATTAATTTTGAGGAGTCTTTAATGTGTAGTTATACATTTGTGTGTGATAATTAATATCTGGACATATCTGGACTCCTAAAATGCAAAAAAAAAAAAGTGTATTATTTGCACTTAGAGACAAAAGAT